TTTTCTATGCCAGCATGCTTAAGCCATATCATGAAGATAAGGATGATCCGAGTAGGGGACAATCAAATCGAGCGCCTATGACTATCACCTCATCGCATGATAGGGAGATTGAGGCTATCATGGATTACCAGGCCAGGCGAAAACAAGGGCAAAAAGCCACCGCTATGTTCCTCATCCATTGGAAGGGGCAATCACTGGAGGAGGCCACATGGGAACGTTATGAAGATTTATGGCAATTCAAAGATAAGATCCGAGAGTTTATGCAGCAACATTGCGCCGCGGTCATCGCAACATTAGGTGGGGGAGAGTGTGATGACTCACCATATCATCATGCCACGTAGGCGCCATTTGGCATATATTAATGCCATATGAAAGCTTACATAGGAGGAATGCTTGCATTTGTGAGAAGATTCTAGAGAAGTATAGACATTTCCTTTGGATGACCCAAGATCCCTATGGATTTGCTAGGAAAGTCCTTGGAATTTTCTAGGCTTATAGAAAATTCTAGAGAAAGCCCTTATCTTGTAAATATTAAGGACTTATGTAATAATTAATATTTACATACTAGCCCCTAGGAGACTAGTATATAAAGAGGGTCATTCATTTGTATTTCATCAAGCAAACAATTCAAGTTCTCTATAATACAAAGCTTTCTTTAACAATTCTCTTGTGTTCTTTCTACCATTCTCTTAGCGATCTTGAGTGTAGTAAGGCTGACTTGGCATATCAAGAATGTGAGCAAATTATCAAGTGCCGCACGTGTACTTAGTTAACGACTAAGGACGTGACACATTGCTACATGGAATGCAACAGCAATATGCAAATTGATGTGGTTTCTATGCCTCAAGAAGGATAAACTATGGGTAAAATGGGTACACACCTACTCTATAAAGGGGCGATAGGTATGGGATGCTGAGCCAACACAAGCTTCCTGGATTATAAGGAAAATATGGAAGGCAAAGAGGATACTTGAAGATGCAGGGCTGAACAGAAATGATGTAATGTAACTAAAAATATTCTCCGTACACAAGATGTACCTCAGGCTAAGCGGTGACTTTCAGAAAGTGTCATGGAGGAAGTTAACATGTAATAACATAGGAGCTCCAAAATGGCTCTTCATTCTGTTTTTTGCATTACCTGGCAGATTAAGCACAAGGGATAAATTGCACAAGTGGGTGGGGGGGGGGGGGGGGGTGACAAATGAGCTGTTATGTCCATTGTGTAATGAGGAGGAAGACTGTATTGATCACCTGTTCTTTGGATGCAAATTCTCTACAGAGGCATGGGGCAAAATACTTAAATGACAGGGTATTTACAGACAACTGATGACTTGGAGCAATGAACAAGTCTAGGCAGTCGCACATGCAAAAGGAAGGAATGCAAATGGTACAATCTACAGGATGGCTGTTGCAGGCCGCGTGTACTTCATATGGCAATAGAGGAATATGCATATATTTCAAGGAATACAGAGGCAAGCTGATCAACTTGTGCGTGTCCTGATTCAGGAGGTGTGCTGTAAGGGATCTATGAAGCCTTGAATGCATAAGAGATTGGAAGAGTTGAATTTCTACCCATAGACCTTGGAAAATAGACAAAGCAGTTTAGTAGGGTGTACTGGTTCTTTTTGGCTCTTAGCTTCAGGTAGTTTATGTGGCTCACCGAGTCTTGGGGCAGCATGTCCAAGCTTGGTTTAGTTTCAATATAGATTGTAAATGTTTTTACAAGTTATTAATACAAAGAAAATTTGGACAAAAAAAAAATTCAAATCTGTTAAAAAAATTTCAATCGAAATGTAAAGCGAGTCATTTAGCTTAATTGGGAACAACGGAACGATTTACAATCTAATACCAGAAAGTTACGAACGCAGTTATCATTTTTCTGTAGTAACCAAATATGATAATCAGGAACACAAACGTGATTTTCGAACTTTTGTCTATTTTTTTACCATGGGATCTAAAAATCATTTTACTAGTACTAAATCGTAGAATTTTGTAAAACAAAAATAGTGTATAAAAGCAAATAGTTTAGGCAAATGAATTACTTAGTACTTATTCCGACTTGACATTCCGGTTCATGTACTTCACAAAGTTTTATCCAGATACTTGAACTCGATCAAAATTAGTATTTTAAATGTTTCTGATCATTGGCCAAGCTTATGTGGCATTAAATCTGCTGAGTTGGACGAAATGTGTGAAATGCACACGTATAAAGCGAGTGTAAACAATGAATTTGATTTTAAAAAAAGATTAAATAAAAGAAAATTAAAAAAAGGAGAAGAAGTTAAGAAATTGTTACTTTATTATTAAAAAGTTTCCCTCCCCTTCATGTACTCTTCTTCCCCCAACCCAGCTACCCTCTCTTAATTTTCTCAATAGTGCTCTTCTTCGCTAACCCCTCCCCCTTCATATACTCTTCTTCTTCCCCTTTCATACTTGCCTTGCTATACTGTTATACCTCTTCGATATCGCAAAAAAATTGTGTGTCACTTTCGATTTTTTCTTCCATTTTGTTTGGTAAAGAAGAAAACAAAATCTAAAGGTAAGTCAATAAACAACACGTAATTTGCTAACAATATAGGTCAGTAGGTAAGATTTCATTAAGATAATCATGCCTCTTTCGCCTACTACAACTCCTCCCTTCTCTTTTTCTTTTACTAAAACCCATCGCCTTCCTCCTGCCTCCGCCTCTTCTTATCTTTCAGGTTTGCTCTTTTGTAACGACCCGACTTGATTTATATGTGCAAATTTCGTTGATTAAAATTCTTAGACGCTCTTAGGTATTAAATTGAAAATTATTGACATATATTAAATCCTCTATTGTCATTCCTGTATCCTTGTTTGTTAAAATTATTTTATACGATGATTTGGTGTGATTGCCACCTTGATTTTATGTGAAATATTATTTTGTTGAACTGTTCACTTTCGGATATTTTTGTTAAGATTTTGTGCACATTATGGTCGAACCATGGGCTCCTTATTGTGGAAAATAATGTATTGTTGATTTCTGTGGCAAGTTGTAATATTTGGGCACTTGATGTGCAATTTGTGATATGTTGTAAGATTTGAGAATTTGATGTGCAATTTGTGATATGTTGTAAGATTTGAGCACTTGATGTGCAATATGTGATATGTTGTAAGATTTGAGCACTGATGTGCAATTTGTGAAATGTTGTAATATTTGGGCACTTGAGGTGCAGGTTGTATTATGTTGTGATATTTGAACACTTGAGGTGCGATTTTTGAAATATTGTGATATTGATACGCATGCGGTGAGATAAGGTGTCTTGAAACACGTGGCTAGTAGGGGAACAACTAGAAGTCATGCGGTGATATAAGGTCAGGGTGTTGAAACGCATGCGGTGAGATAAGGGCGGCTTGAAATGCGTGGTTAGTAGGAAAACTACTAGAACTCATGCGGTGTGATAAAGATGGCTAAAACGTGGTGAAATTTTGGGTCGTAACATCTCTTCTACTCAAGTGACTCAACTCAAGCACCCTCGTTTCTCTTTCTCTTTTCACTTTTAATCAAATTTCAGGCCTACTTAATTTTGGATTTATAGTTCTTAAACCTAGGAAGTTTCATTCCCTTAACGGAACTGGAACATTTACTGTCACATATAAATTCAACACTGCTAGTCGCTTGGGTTTCACCCAACCTTCCCATTCCTCTGGTAAGTAGTACTTCTACTACCTACAACTACTGCAATTTTCTTTACGCTGCTTTGGGGTGGTGAAGGTGGCGGCATAGAGGCGGGAATAACCAGAGATAGAGAGTAGTGGGAAGGAGTGAAGTGAAGTGACAATAAAATAAAAAATAGAGTGGAAATGAAGTAAAAAAATAATGATGTGACATAAAAAAATCTGAGGTGGACATGGATATGTCATCCACATAGGATTGTTGAAGAGCACGCGCAATCTGAGGGTTTAAAAGTGTTATTTTGAACGAGTAGAGATGTCTGAATGAAACTTTGTGGAGTACAAAGATCAAAATGTCAAACCGAAACAAGTATACAAGTGTCTCCTAGACTATTCTACCTTTACAAAAGTCAATACCATGAAATTAATACCCTCTCACTTAATGGGTCCGAGTGTTTAAAGCAAATGGCTATGCTAAGATAACACGAATTCTTAGATCGCATTAAAACATTCAACTATATATTTTTGACAATACCAAGACTATAAAATGATTAAAATCTATACTTTTTGCCCCACATATTAACATGTATAATTATCCCTATAATTTAGAAGTAAAAAGAAATTAAATGGGTTGACTTTTTGATTTAGTAAAGATATTAGCTGGATGTTACGATGTTGTTGCTCGTAAGCTATCACACTCGAAATGAATAAGAAAAGAGTTAGTATACTACTAAATAATTCCTTACGAAAAGAGTTGGTGTAATAAATATTCCTTTTTTCTCAACCAAATGATTCCTTCCATTAGCGCTGAGTTCATAACAAGATGATTGAATCAGTTTGCCTCAGACATCATTTTTCTTGTATTCCCATGACAAGCAGGACATTTTTACCAGGCTATCATATTAATGCCCTAAAAAAAGAATGAAATTAAGAAAGAAAAACTTGTTGATCTTCTTCTTCTTCTTCTTTATTTTTCTTTTTGTTAAGTTTATTCTCCAGTCCTTGTCATGATTAGACATATTATTAATTCCAAGGGGATGAGCCAGTTCCCAATCACTACAGCATTGTCTAAGTCAGCATGCAGTTATAAATCCATTACATATTCATTTCTGACGTTGTTAGACATACCAAGTCGGCTCCTACTTATTTCAATGAAAATATAAAGTATACAGTTTGACTTTGACTTTGGATTGAATCTGGATCCATGCAAGTGGGACAAACGAAATTCCATTACTCCAAATTGGGTGGATTTTTTTACAAAGGGGGAAAGAGTCAATCAATTGGTTGGCCATTACCAAACTCATTCTGTCTTGAATCACCAAAGAATGTCAAGAAATCTTTACAATATAAATATTTGTGTTTAGATTTGTTTTTGAGCAGGCTTTCTTTTTTTGGCATAAGACCAAGTCTAAACTCTCTTTCATAACTAAACTGAGCTCATAAGAATGGATATCAACGAAGAAAAATCAGCAATGTCCCAGCTACCCATTGAAGGAGATGAACAGATCAAAGCAACAAAGTCAGAAGAAATAACAAAGGAAAATGATCAAGTGATCATTCCACCAACGACTGTAACAATTGAAAGTGATGCAAATAAAGATGCAAAGGTAGAAAAAGAAGAAAATCCAGCTGCGGAAAAGAAAAATGAAGAAGTGAAGAAAATAGCCGGCGAAAGTAGAAAAGAAAGTGCGGAAGTGTTTACTATACAGATTAAGCAAAGTGAAGAAAAGATCAAATGCCGCCCTATAGCCTTTCTGTTGGGACTTCCATTTGCCCTAATCTCTCTCGTCATTGCATTTGTTGGATGCATTATCTGGATTCTCGGGTTTGTCCTTCTTAATTCTTCTTTTTTGTCTTTACTTTTGTTTCTAGGATAGGATTTACTACTCCCTTCTTACGTATTAATTTATATGGTGACCGAACTTTTTTTTAAAAAGAACTTTTTAAAATTTGTAGACCTAATAATACCATAACATTCATATGGCAATAAAAGCTTGTTAGTAAGGTTAAAATGAGAAGTAAAAAATCAAAATATTTATACAAATCTAGAAAAAGCTCGCACCCCAGGGATAACTCAATATAAATTAACCGTCAAGCTTATGGTCAATATTACTGTTTTATATTAACAAGTTCGAGTTAATACCTCATATGGTCATCCAAGTCATAAAAATAACTCAATAAAGTTACTTTTATTTATTTTTTACCAATAAAGTCACTTACCAATTATTCCATAAAATAATTCCTACGTGAAAGTGCCAGAGAATAACATATATATTCCCCTAGTAAATGACCGTTAATATGAAGAATTAATCAAACCAAGATGTTAGAAGAAAGTTACTTGGGTATTAAGGGGTCGTTTGGTAAGATGTATAGAAAAATTGATTGGTGTATAAAATTTCGTATTGGATTTATAGCGTATTTGGTTGTATTTTGCAAATCAGGATCAATAATTCATATATAACTTAATGGTGCACTGTTATACCAATACCGACAACATGAAATAACTAATTCATATATAGCTTATACATGGTAAATCATTAAAAGCATAAAATTATCCTTGTCTTTTTCCTAGAAACCAATAAAGGTCAAACATCCAAGAATAAAATTATAAATTTATTGGTTTTTAATTGGAAAAATGTATAAATGTTATAAATGATAGTATCTTATACATCCAACTTTAGTGCAATGAACCAAACACCTAAGAAGAAATAATTTATATATTACTAACTCATGTATTATTATTCCTTGCATTATAATACGTACAACTTGTCTTCATATCAAATGGCCCCTAAATGTATAAATTAACAAGAATTTTCGGTGTGGATGGTGCAGGTTGATGTTAACATGCATATGCCCCTGCTGCTTCTGTGTGACAATCTTGGTAGAAATGGCACTTAGTCTAGTCAATACGCCTTTTGCTTTTTTCCAGTATATCACTGATAAAATACCTTTCTGAAGACTGCTCAATCATTCACCATTTAAGATACACTATTTCATTCCTATTAAATATTATCCCTATCTTTACTTTTTCCTCCCTCCCTATTGCAGACCTCCTTCCCCATAGGAAAAAAAAATGTGTTTTATATGTATAGTATTCAATTCTTTTTGTTGAATATGGTACTTTTTTTTTTTTAATCTTTTCAAGTTCAAGTGTACTACATAATCCAATAAATTTGCTTGGTTTGTTTGTTCGTCTTGATTCTCTTTGCAATTATAATTAGAACCTCAGATTTAAGTCACTTTCGTGTAAATTAACATGTATGCTCCTCACAAATTTTCCTTTTAAGGGCTATCTTCTCGTAAAACAATAAACTTAAATTAAAGTTATGTCGTATTTGAGTGTTTTACACGAATGAATTTACTCCGTCAAATAATAACAAATAATAGAAAATGTAGCTAACATGGAAAGGAGAAACATTGCAGTTCTAGAGAAGTAACACTATAAATAAATATCGTAGTGATTTTAAATTAGAAAGATTTTCGTATACCCTCAGTTGTCACGGTATCATTCACTTAATAAATTTGTATGAGTTTGTTAGTCCTTTTTTGTTTCATTATTATTACATCTTTTGTTAGTTTCTTGGTGCTCTCTCCATACGTACTTCGCCTTTCACTTAAAAGATAGGTACTATTTTGGATGTCACTGTCACCGTCAACAAACAAGATGCGATGTAATCCACCATATGAACGAATTGGAGTAACACACGATTAAAGACGGTTATTGCACGCAATTTTTCAACATTTTTCTCATACTTCAGCATTAATTAGGTTGTAACAGAAAAAGTGATTTATAAGCTTGGGGTAGATGTATTTGTATCATTAAATGCCGCACTTAATGAAAAGCCCAACTGATGTAACATAAATATATAACATCTCAAATTCAATTAACTATGAAAAGCAAAAGCGTATGTGGACGGGTCAAGTATTGGATAAACGAGTGGTTTGAGTTTTAAAATAATCCAGGTTTTAAATTGGTAATTTAATAATAATTTTCATAACATTAATTCTTTCTATGTTAGTAAATCTCACTAGAAAGTATAAAATCCAACATGGATGGCCATTTAAGTGAATTAGTCAAATTTGAGTGATTTTTGAAAGACAAAGGAAAGCTATATGATTTTGATAGCCAATTACTCAAAATTGAGTGATTAAAATTGGCGAATCTTCTCTTTCATAGCTATATTTTGCCAACAATTAGAAAAGTTACATGGTGTAAAAAGATAGGAATGTCTACTCTTAAAATAGCTAGGCAACAGAGGCAAGATTAACGTCTTCCCCTCTCTTTACCAATTTTTGGTGGTGGTAATACATGGACTTTTAATTTTTTTTTAAAATGGCCAAAAACAACGTTTCACTTCTATCAGTTGCAAGAAAAAATAAAATAAAATTGTCCTCCTTGTGAATACCTAATTTTTATACAATTTTAACACCTCCTAAAGTCATTAGTGTTTTGTTGCTTTAATTATATTTCCCAATTTTTGTGTCTTTGATTGCATATTTCCTATCATAAAAATACCAAAAAATAGTTCTTTCTTTATTTGTACATTTTAGGAATTAACTAACTATTCAATTGGTGAATTAATCTAGTTAATTTATCATTTGAATAAGTTACTTAATTAATTTATTTGTTTGTGTAAATTTAGTTTAATAAGTAGGATTAAGAAAGAAATTGGGCCAAATTTGAAAGAGAAAGTGGCCAAAAGTGCAAGATAAGGGGCTGCCTTTGAAAGGGTCCGGAACGACGTAGTTTTGCCTCAAAACTACGTCGTTTCATTAAGTGACCTAAGATCAAATCTCATCAATTGATCACCCCTTGATCTAATGGTCCATATTTGATCTTTCAAGAGGTATTTAAAGCCTCAAAAATCTGAAAAATTCCCTCATTTCCCTCATAACTCTTTCTCTCTTCTCTCTCTCTTCTCTCCGCCGCGCCGCCGAAAATCACCCACCGGCGGCGAACCACCTCCAAACACCTCCAAATTAACACCATATAATCTCCACAACCTCCTCTTCCCATATCTCCAAACCAATTCCTTCAAAAAACCCTCAAACGCCTTGAATTTTAGATCTAAGAAATTTTAGCCGCAACTTTTTGGTCCAAATTCTTGAAGCTCCGGCCAACACCACCCTACAACACATACATGGATGAATAGAGCTCCACGAGACCTATCTTTTCCTACCCATTTCACCCCCAAAATCCCCGTCGTTGCCGGCCTGCTCCTCGCCGCCGCCACAACTCCACCGCCTCACCACCGCCAAAATGCCCCGAACCCCCATCTTAGCTATTTTTCGACTCAAAGATACTCGTTTCTTTTGGCGAGATGCTAAAACGCATTTCGTTCTAGCATCTACCCGAAAGAAACGTGCGTTTCGGAGTCGGGTAGTCGCCTTTTAGCATCTCCGGCGTCTTCTCGTGACTCGAACAGTTTCAAGCATACTTGTTAGGTATAATCGTCATCTCTTTAATTAATTTCTGATTTTTTATATTAGTAGATTAGTTTCTGATTTTTGATTTTTCTGTTTTGGTTGTTTCTTGTTAATTAGAGTTTCAAGTTAGGTTTATTTAATTAGTTATCTCTATTTAGTTTAGTGGTTTGTTAGATTTGTTATTGATTTAAACATGATCTTTAGTGTATTAGTTAAATCGTTCACTTAGTTAGTCGATTATTTAGTTGTTGTTAGTCGTTGTCCGATTGTTAACGATGCTCGTTCTATTTTGAGCATTAGTTTGTGAATTTAGTTGTTTGTTTAGTAATTAGTTTGCATAAATCGAATTTATTCCCATCAAGTTGGTTTGAATACTTAGTTCAATTACGTTTTTAGTCTCGTCTATGCTTTGTCAGTTCATAGTTGTCCAAGTTTGATTTGTGTTGAGCAAGTAGTTTATTGTTGATGGTTAAAATCTGAAGTTAGTTTATGTTATCACAAAATAGGGTAATAGTAGCTTACTTTTACTAGTAGGGTGGCTGAAAGGATATTTTTTTCTCCTTGCTTCTGACACAGCAGATTTTCAGGCTGTCCTTTCACCTTTGGGACAGACCTTGAACAGTGTTTAGCACACAAAGTTAGTCTTTTGAACAGATTTTTGGTGAACCAAAAAATCTGTCCAAAAATCTAACTTTATTTGCCTATTGAAACGGCTGATTTTCTCCTATAAAAGGGACTCTCTTACACTTAGAATGGGGAGGCTTAATGACTGAAAAAAAAACACACACTCTCTTATACTTAGAAGACAGAGGCATTTCTCACTCTAAGCAAAATACACAACTTTGAAAGTAAAAGGCATCAGCTGAACAACAAAGTAAGCTGAAAAACTGAAAGTTTGTGAGTGATTCTTTTGAAAGCTAATACCTTGTGGAAAATAACTTAAGCTCTTAAGGTTAGCCGAGTTCTTGTTTCCTTTTCCAAGACATTGAACTTCTGTTTTGAGTTCCTGGGTCACTTCGGATTAAAAGATTGTTGTTTGGTTGCTCTTTTCACTGCTGGAAGTTTGCTAGTTCGCTGTTGTTCGTTAGTTTGTTCTTCCGGTGTTCCATCTTTGCTATAGTTTTGATTTTCAGCCATTCAGGTAACTTTTAAGCTATTGTAATGCAGATTTTCAATATCTATGAACATGTTTCTGTTATTTGAGCATGCNCTTTTTTTAATAAAAAATTATAATAATAATAATAACAATTTGGTCCAAGCTTTAAAGTGTCATTCTAATAAAAAAATCAGGTTTTGTTACTAATTAATTAGCTCATTTCCTTAATGATTAATTTAAGCGATTGGCAATTTTAGGCACGTTTGAGATGTAAACCATGTGTTTATACACGATCCTTGGTCGATATTTATTTAATAAAGTAGCCATGTGTGCATTCCCGCTCCTTGACTCTTCAAAATTAATTGTATTTAAACCATGTGTACCGATACGTTCCTTGTTTTAGTACATATAATCAAATAAAACCTTGTGTGCTTACACACTACAAGGCAAAATTAATAAAATTTAATTATTAATTTTTAAGCGACATTAGACGATAGTAATTCAAGGCTAATAAAATATACTTTATCCAAAATTAATTCAAGCCAAGTTTTAATCAATAAAAGCGACCGTGCTAGAACCACGGGATTCGGGGAATGCCTTACACCTTCTCCTCGGTTAACAGAATTCCTTACCCGAACTTTGTTTTCGCAGACCAATAATAATAGAGTCAAATCTTTCCTTTGATTAGGGATTCAAATAAAAGGTGACTTGGAACACCAACAAAATCAATTCCAAGTGGCGACTCTGTAAATAAAATAATCCCTACTCNCCTCTTAAATTTAATCTTCTTTAATGATTGTTGAAATCTGTACTATTGGTTCAAAACGAAGTGGTATTTTTTAAACTAGAAGGTTATGTAGTAATAAAAGTAGCTTTTTATTTTTTTTGTTACAACTAAATTGCAAAAGCATTTTTATATGTGTTCTAGTAAGATACTCTTCCATATGAGTAATTTCTCTTCTTTACATTGTTATAATAGATTATATTTTTTT